CCCCAAAACCCCAAAACCCCAAAACCCCAAAACCCCTTATTGTTTTTAATATTTGAAATGGATTCACAGGACATTGATCAGGTGAGAACTCTTAGTTACAAATAGTATGTAAAGCCTCTCCAGATCCAGTTAGAGGAATGAAAGGAGAAAGCAGACTCAGCTAATAGAACAATTATGTCTATTAGAGGGGAGTTCAATATTATGTCAGAGCAGGTATATGAGACCCAAAGAAAATTACAGGAAATTATGAGTGCACTTTATAGAGTTGATGAGAAAGCAGATAAAGAGGCTCTGTATAAAACCAACGCTAGGTTTCAAGATTTTGTCCCGTATTATGAATATAAAGAAGTAGTAAATAGTCTGAAAGAATTCTCAAAGCAAGCTGATCTGTAAGTTTCATCACAATTATTTCTTAGAAATGAAGCACTCGGCAGAATTAAAAATCTAGAAGATCAGGTATACTTCTCATCTTTATCCATAGGTCAAGGAGATGTACACAAAAGACGAAGTACAGGATCTTCTAACAAACAGTAGGAAAGAAATCGATAAATATCTTGAGCAAAAATACTGTACAATAAACTTATTTCACACTGAAAACAAGTTAAAATAAAGAGTCTATCGATTCTCTTTCCCAGTCTTCAAGCAGCTATAAAAATCTTCTGACTGACTATTCAACTAAATTCACAACATTGGAATGAAGGATTAATAGTAAGGCTGATAAATCGTAAGTTCATGACTAAAAATAGTGACCTCAAGGCTAAAACAGATGCTATCTGGAGCAACTTTGAAAACTGTTGCCAGTACGAGCACATTAAGCAGGTGAAGCTAAGAGTAGAGCCTCTAGCTGATAAATGCATCAAACTTCTGAACAATTTTTCACAAGAGAACATCGAAATGAAGAATATTATTAAAAGGTTTGATGAGATTATCCTTGATAAAGCATCTAAATTTTCAGTTTAAAAAAATCTATGAAAAGTTCCATGATTATGCAACTGAGATAAATCTGAACCGTATCAATGACACAATGGTCAAACTAAAACATGACTTTAATCATAAACTTAGCAAGATAAAAGAGAATTTCGAGCAGAAGCATACTAACTTGTATCATGATCTTGATGAAAAGTTTGAAGAAAGTCAAGTTACTATAAAATAAACACATTATTGAGCAAATAGGAGGAAAGCCACTTAGCATTGATGAGATCAATCAATTACTCGCAACAAAGGCAAACCGGTCTGATCTTGGAATCCTTGATAAGACCAAATCAGATAAATATGAGATCGAAAACTTTCTTCAAATAGTTAAATCTCTATCCACACAAAACGATCACATTCTTACACTACTTATTGAAGGATTTAAAGTAGATATCGACTCTAAAATCGACACTGAACACAGCCAAATTAACAAATAAAGCTTCTGTCCTTTCCCAGTTGATCAATTTATACAACTGGAGTAAGAAGCAAAATCTAAATCCCAGCTCTCCAGATAGCCCAAAATCCCAAATTCCAAAATCTGCATGAAAAAGTACACCCTCTCTCACCTATAGAAAGCTTCAATTTCAAGCTCAAGAGGCAAAAGACTGTCTTCAAATCCCGTCGGGAATCTTGTCCGACAAATTCTTACGGTTCAGAATCACTTAACCACAAAAATGCTTCAAACCTTATGAAATTCTCACACAAGGTTTTGCCAAAACAGGCTGCATCTCTTCTTCAGAAGCATAAAATTCCCATGAAGAGTTTAAGATGACAGACTTCCCACCGGTCAAGGTCTTTGACTAGGATTTCGTTCCAGCAGACCCCGGTTAAGGATCATGAGAAGTAGGTATTTGGAGAGATAGAGTGGTGGGACATTCAAGAATAAGGTTGTTTTTGAGAATAGGAAAGTATTGTAATGCAATTATGTTTTAGTAAGAAAGTATAAAATTCTATTTCTCAACTATCTTAACTCTTCTTGGGGTTTTGGGGTTTTGGGGTTTTGGGGTTTTGGGG